TTCGTGGTGCACACAATCGGTGCTCGATAATTTAAATGCTTCATCGGCTTTGAACAAAATCGCATCATGTATCCTTGTCAGCTCAAAATGGGATTATGTATATGTGTTTGCTTTGGAGGCGTCTGTCAGTCTGCTTAATTGTTATGGCGGTTAATGTAATTCGCGGAATGAAGCAGTGATCAGTTTACTTGTGAAAAATCCGGAAAAAAATATATGGTCAATCATAAAATGTTTTTGCTGTCTGCTACGTAAAGGTAATTCAGGTTTTTAAGCAAACATTCTGCTTGAGAAGGCTAATGGGCTCGCTGCAGCCGTTTATGCTGAATGAACTTTTCTTATATTCCTACCAGTAATTAATGAAATTGCTCCCTGCCTTGATCGCATTTGTAAAAAAAGGGGATTAAGGCGAAGTGTGGTGCGTTCGTATCGTTGACCTGTTTTAGGTCTCACTTCGGTGCAAAGTTAGAATATCTGCTGTCGTCAAGAGCGGAGATAATCAGTCGCATGCATAGACCTCCTCCTGCTGAAGGCAACAATTTGGAAGAACTCTTAGGAGAGGAGCCGGTACCACCTATTCCTGTTCCTAAGCCGAATGTTCCGGTTTGGCCAGACGAAAAAGCTGCAGCATATTGTGCCCTTACTCCTCCACTAGAAACCTTTATGGTTGTACCGGATGAAATTCGACGGGACCAATTTTTCCGCGTATGTCACGCATTATTTTTGAGTCACATCCATGGCTTGCTAGTTCTGTTATTTTTCAATTGCACTTGGAGTTGTTTTTTTCGGGTTTACTTATCAGCGTCTCTGTGATGTTGCTTTTGTCGACTTCCCCTCCAGTGTCTTGATGTGGCTAACGTCCATTTTTCTGTAGACTGCACGCCAGGATGACATGCTGATCGGTTGTGTTAGTGCAATCCAAGATTCTGGTTTGATAATAACGTTGTTGGCGTACGACCAAGGACCTCGTCGTGATTTTGATGGACTTAGACTGACAGTAAGTCTCGTATTCGTTACCAATTTGCTGTTTTGATTTAATTGTATAATTGCATACACTTGGCGTAAGTGATGGGTTGGTTTTTATCGACTTAGGAAAAGAATTCTGTATTTAGTAGATAAGATCGCCGTCCCTGCTGCCCAACTTCAATAGCTTTTTCGTTTTCTCTGAGTACTTTAATCACCCACTTGAAGCCATGCTGGTGGCGATTTATATCTACTCAAAAGACTGGTTTGCTACCTCCGTGTCAGCTACCAGGCACGTTGACGATGCGTTCATTGTCTAGAACTGTGCTTGCACTTTATTCACATGCAACTTCTTTTGTATTTCTGGATCATTTTGATCGCGCCGTATTTTTCATCGAGGTGCTCGACCTGGACAAATATGTCCATCCCATTCCTACAGGTAGCCATGTTCGTTGATTAAAGTCCTGCTTAACGCAGGGGTGACTCAAAAGTAGTGTGCATCGAACACAGTGTGTGTATAGCCGTACTTAAATTATTTGCATCTGCTATAACGGTTTGGATGTTGTAATGATTGATGATTGGCTTGACACAAAACGATTTATATTCTGAAGGCTAGCAGGTCAAACCTGATGAGCTTCTTTGTTTTTTTGCAAATGGCTTTTTTGGTTCTGTTCAAGCTCTGGATAACTTCACTGGCTTGGGCGTTATTCCTGTCCTTTGTCTTTATACCATTTCCTCGGAGAAATAATTCTATGTACCGAAACAGCAACATATCAAGTGGTGTCCTTTTTGCTTGTTACTTCATAGTGAGCGTTCGCCTGTCATTGCTTATTTTACTGCTTTTCTACTTGCTATTTTAAGGGTTTTTGTCCAGTTCGTCAACTCCCAAAGTATGCTACACATGGAAATGCACTTGATGCTTTCCAAATGGGGGATAAAGTAAGGGGTAAGTTAGTATTTATGTGGTGAACTCTTGTTGGTACTTTTTCTTAGTTTTGTTTTTTGTTATTGTAGCTTTTATTCTGGATGTCCACCATTCTGGTCGCCTGATACTGAGTATGAATGATAAAGCCCTTAACACGGATATCTACGGCAATGTTACCCTTGTGAGAATAATTATTATAAAAGCCTCGTGAATTTCTTCGTGTCTTTACGCTCTATTCGTTTTCAGGGTATTATATCGGATGATGATTTGCCTCTGCACTACAGGTAAATTGGTAGTTGTGTTCCTCTTATGTTTTCTGCAGAAAGTTGCAGAATCTAGATGGGAAGTCATTCGAAGCGTGCCTTGAAGGAACCCCACAGTTTCGTAATCCCGATGGACTTCGTGTCCTTTGCTCAAGATTTGGCATTCCTCGTGCTTCTGCGTGCAGTTTGCTGTTGTCGATGGCGAGGTAAGTCGTTTTTACCAGCATACTTTGTCTTTTGCAATAGCTCGTGACTGTTGCTGTTTTTTGCAGGATAAACCTCCCGAAGCCCGAAATGGCTTGTGAACTCCGGCGAGTGCAACTTTACAATATGTCAATGAGGCAGTAAGTCTTGTCCCATCCACATGTTTCGACTTGTTCGGACTTATCTTGAAAATTTTTGTATCAAATTTTAGTGTGGCACAGGGGGTCAAGTATTTCAAGGACGGTAGGAATACCGAAGCCCTTCAGTGCTACAACTTTGCCATCGAAGTCGAAGGCAGTAATGCCGACGCCTATGTCGCTCGTGGTGCTTTGTAAGTCTGCCGCCGGTTTTTCACGGCTTTTCCGTGGATCGTCTGATTGTTTTCTAACATTACCTAGGTATGCATCCATCGGGACTTACATCAAAGCACTGGATGATTTGGAGAAAAGCTTGGTACTGCAACCTAATCATGCAAATGCAAAGAACTATCTCGGCCAAACACTTCTTGCCTACGCCTGCGAGTAAGCCTGCTGTTAATTTGCTAACCCTTTGTAAACATGGGGGGCCATTGAGGGTCACGAGGCTCTGCAATTTAGAATGCCAAAAGGTTCCATATCGACACTTAAGGGAAGGAGTAGATAAATATACGAAGGAGCTATGCACATGCTTTTTTATGCGCTTTTAATTGCACGTTTCTGAACAAGACCGTAACAGAACGTCGGGGACTTATCTGTTGCCTTTACGGTGAAATTAAGTAACCAGCACCAATGCTTGATCTAACATGACAATCATCAAGGTGGAAATGAAATGGTCCTATGGAAGAAACCATGGCATCAAACTGACCTAGTGCAACAAATGTTCACGACGAAACGCCTATTTATAAGCATTTGCATGTAACAAAAATGAACACTTGAATGAAATTGATTCTGCGCTGATTTGCTAAACTATGCGCGAATGCATAGGTTCTTAGTATGAGTCCTTTGATCAATTACAAAGGCAAATAAAAGCTTTTAACCCTCACAAATATGTGGACAATGTCAGTAGTTTATCACAACCGCACAGCCAAATCCGACCCCAAACCCGAAATACGTGCTCATGGTAGTATATCAAGTCATTAGTAATTTAAACTGTTGAAGCCGCATCAAACAGTAACCGAAACCCTCCGCGTGTGTCGATTATGCGAGTCAGGCGATGTGTTGAAATCCGGAAACAGGCTTTGCGTCGTTGCACTCCGAACCGTTCGAAAAGCAGAAACTGGGCTTTGGTCTTTCTCCTCACCTGTTGTTCACTCAAATCGAGTTTTCCAGTCGGTTGAAAGCTCTCTGAATAGAAAATTATTTTGACGTCAGGATTTGTCTGTTGGGACTGATGACAAAAAGTCACTTCAAACACTAGACTGTCTTTTTTATATTTGCCATAATAAATTTTTTTATGTTAACCAAATTCCACATGATATCTGTCCAGGTTATCTGCTAAAGACCCTTCTAAAGCTGAACAACTTCTTAAACGCGCGTTAACTCTGGACCCTAACAACGAGGAGGCTCGTGAAGCACTTCGAGATCTACCCGGAGGTGGTAACAGTAATATTGGTGGCGCCCAAAGTCGTGATGTCAGTATGGTGAGACTTTGTTGAATGTTTTTTTGTGACGTGTCAAGGGATCAACAAACTCAAAATGTTACTTAAATTCTAAAATGGGGAATGCATCCTGTGTGAATGCACAATTTTTACATGTTTGCCAGTTTATTTATCACAGTGAAACTGGTTTTATCAATATCTCCATGACATCAGAGGGTTATTTTGAAGCATTTTCGTATCGATCGAATTTTTACTTAAGCTCCAAAAAATTGCATAAGTCGAATTAGAGTCCAGTCATCACCTTTCAGCGTTCGTGGTCCCGCTCGCCCTCCCCAGCTGTAAGCAAACGAAACAATGCGCCTGCAGTGGTGACTGCGGCCGCACAGCGACACGGTGGGGGCACAGACCTTTCTCCGCCCGGTTCCCCTCCTGTGCAACGCGGAAACCAGTATTCTCATTTCGAACGTTCCCGTGCTACGCTCGAACAGCTTGTTAGCGAAGATCGTTCTCGACGCGAGGCGATGCGGAGAGGTCGTGGAGCCTCTGGTGATGACTTACATTCCCCTCAATGTACGTCGCGCTCGTCAGTTTTCAACATATACGATGAATTCACTTTGCTGTTTTTAGCCAACCATTTTTAAATTATGACGTGGGGTGATTCAGTGGTAATTCCCTACGGGTTGTCGTCCATGTTGGTGTAGGTAAAATGGATCGAGTCTATCATTAGGTGGTGGTTTTAAAGTGAAAGAAAGCCTGTGTCACGAAATCGTAAACTTCAACTTGTTATCTGACTCCACAATGTCTATTTGGGGTTGTACTGAATCAGTCTTGCCCACGAATGATAAGTGACGGTGGATTATTCTTCATTTTCAATGGGCTATATTGGATGACCTGCAGCCACGAGATTATTTTGGATCGGGATTTCAAAGTTGTTAAGAGACGAGGGCTGACGGACTTAGCTTCATCTACCCGTTTGGACACTAGTCTTATTGAAATTGTGTTCATATCTACATACACTCTACTTTCAAAGCAACTGTGATTCAATCCAAAAAAAAACGACATATCATGCCCAAAAAATACCCAAACTACTATGCTTTTGCACTACCGATGTATTCGCACCTTTAGGCATTTTCGGCAATAGTGATATTCTGGCAATTAATTTTTAAACTTCTTGACGTGACTTAGTCTGCGAAGTGAATCATTAGAACGATGCTAAATTACTTACCTTTTAAGTATACATAATTCATGTATTTTTTTCTTCTTGTGGAGACTGTTTGTAACTGCCTTTACATCACTGTATTCTGAAGGGGTTGAATTAGCTCGCTTTAGTATTTTGGGATGTCTAGTTAGATGAACCCTTTTAAATAGTTGTTTTCCTTCACGGTGCGTGAACTTATCAATGATGACCAATCCTAATTGCCGTTTTTTTGAGGAACCTCCAGTTTTGTGCAATAATATGTCGTGATGTTATTCCAATGTGCTGCTTCTACTGTTTTACTCTCTTGTAAGGGAGGGGGGATTGATTAACAGAAAATAGAACTAGACATGCAGTAGAAAAACTTCAATGAGTTTAGGTAATCATTGCAACTTTAACTGCATATTTTGTCAAAAATCTTACTACCACTATGTCAGTATATTTTATTACGATTTAAGAAAATTTAGTACTTGACTGAGCCTGTATTATGGCATTTATCGATATCGCCAGTTTCCAACTTATCCAAATTTTCCATGATTTCCCATCACAACTCCCCGTAGTGATTGAATGAGTTGAGCCAGTTTGGGTTATTATCCTGACTTTCTTCGTTCGTCCTGGCCATATAAGTCAACTAGGGCAAATACAATACCCGTTTTGTAACTGATTATGTGTACATTTTGCTCTATTTTGTTATTTCCATTTCTTAACCACTCAAGGTAGCGAAAATATGTGGTTCTACCTCATTTCAAAATGTTTCCATTTATTTGTGGATGTTATTGTCCTCAATAATTGTGGTCGTACACGTTTGTTTTTAGCTCGAGGTTACTACGGTGATGACAGATATCGTGATGAGGTACGTTTCGCCATGGCTGTGTGTGCGTTTCTCAGCCTCTTATGCTATTTAATACTTTTGTTTTAGGCTAAGCGATCTGAAAAAGGTGGTCACGTTGAAAAGGGAAACTTGGCAAAGATCGTAATTACCAGAGATCGGGTAAGTTTGGTGTCTGTTTTTCAGCATTACCATATGCGTCTTTTACTCGTTCGTGTCATTGCGGTAGCGCATCATTTCACACCATTCCGTACTGAGTTGAATTCATTGTTCATTTCTTTAGCGTGATTTTTCCCATTGTAAACTTGTTAGTTTGCAATTGTTAAGTGGTGCCACATTAGCCATTTGTCTTAAATTCGTTTTTGCAAGGCTTTCCATCTTCCCGATTTGTTGATACTTAGAGGCTGGCTACTACTCTTTATGTTTTTGATAACAAGGGACAAACGATCAAACTTCGGGGTTGTGGTCCTGTCAATTCCGAAAGGACTCACTCAGGGCTTTCATTCGATTTCGTGGTGGGCCACTTTTACGTCACAATTTGTTATTTTTAGTCGGGTCGTGTTATCCGGTGCGAAGATGAAGGGCAGTGGGAGGAAAGTGAACGCGATAGAGGCGACATTCAGGCACGCGGTCGACGTGGTGGTGGTGGTGGTGAGCGTGATTATCGCAGGTATTTCAGTCGATTACATTCTTGACTGTAAATCCCCTAACGTCTGCCGAATTGCACGCATAGGGGTTTCAATTCATTTGGAGATTGCGATAAATCCTCTTCTGTTTTACTAACCTTGCTGAAATAACTTAAACAGCTCGGACAGTCCACTTCAATACAGCATAAGTTTTCTGCTTAGGTGACTGGCATAGCTTGCTAAAAACCCTGGCTTTGTTACAGTTATTTTGATAATAGATTTTAGCCTCCTGTTTCACTACTTTATTTCCGCATTCATAGTTGTAACTACATTCTGAGTGTGTTACCCTTAAACATTTGATAGGTACGATGGTGACAGAGAAAGAGACTGGCGAGATGATCGTCGCAGGTGGGTTTATCTCAGTGTTATTGTATATGTTAATGTACATGTTTACTTTCTAAACACGTATTTTAAAAGCCAACCGCTGACTTCGAAGGGGACGTTCACTTTTGTTTCAGCGACCCTTCATATCTCAATTTTTCTTGCTTTTAGGCGGGATGATTGGAAGAATTTTGAAGATCATGGTTCGACGCCAGGTGGGAATTTTTTTTTTAACGAACCGTCGATAAATAACTTTAAGGTTAAAGATGTAAGTGTTGCGCTAATTGGCCTCAATGGAAACTCCTTTTAAAATGAAGTTTCTCTAAGGGTCATGGATTTGCGGGAAGATGGGAAGTTGTTGTTCCAACTTCTGCTGTTCGGTTCTCTCATAGTTTTATGGGCAAAGCAAAAGTTCCCCAATGTTTAGCGTTGTCCACTCATCTGGGTTTCATTCTTTTCAAGGCCAAGACCGTCAAGAGGAACGCCAACTACCTCAATCCGATTTTCAATACGATAGAAGGGTACGACGTTTATTTTATTCCTTGGCCCCCTGCTGATGTATCCAGTTTATTTTAAAGCTATGGGCTTTTCAAACCATTATTTATTCTTATGGAGCGGTGTTCCTCATTCGTTTTTCTGTACCAACATCATCCCTCTCTTCTTTGAGGCAATGTCTTATCGCTAAACAATAATAGTTGCGACCGTAGTTACCTTTGCTAAATAGTCTTTTTTTAGCTAATGCGCTTTCAAGATCGTGGAATTACACAACTTTTTCGACAATATTAGCCTTGTACGACCATTCCATGTTTTCGTCTTGATAATCCAAATTTTTTCCTTATCGTTTTGTCATGCATTTTAAGCGCCACACACTGCACACGCCAATCCGATACCGTAATGTTTAGCGCACCATTTTTGTATATTATTGTTGTTGCTTGACCAGGGGAAATGCACAACTGGGATGGGCACTAACCCCAACTTGAGAGACGTGCACGGGGTAGTTGTCAAGCGTTTTTATCTTCGTTTTAATTTGCCCAGGTCTACACTCCTCCAAAAGATGCAGTTGAAGTAGAGAATGGGGTGCTCACTCACTATGTGAACAAGAGTGACCTACCACTTACGTCTAAGACCCTTCAAGACCGAGTTCAGCAACGCCTCAAGGACATTGAACGTCGGCACCGCGGTGAACCTGGTGTTGGCGGAGATGGTGGAGGTCCACCTTCTGGGGAGGGAAATTGGCGTGGGCGTGGTGGATTTCGTGGAGTTGGTGATCGCGGTTTTTACCCTCGAGGGCGTAGCGGTCCCAGAGGTGGTCCACGTGGCAGTTGGCGAGGCTCTTGGCGTGGGGATGACGGTGGTGGCGATTGGAGAGGTGGTCGTCGTGGTGGTTGGTATGGGAATCGGTAAGAGCTCATTAAGTCTGATTTCTAGGATCTCGTGCCCATAAGCTATTATGTAGACCTATGCGATATCTTTTTTAGCGATCGGTACGGTGTTGATAGGCGCGGTGATGGAGGTCCTGACGAGTTCCGTAAACGCAGACCGAGGTACGACCATTCTCATTCGGCTTCCAGGTCTCGTTCCAAGTCTCCAGTTTCTCGTTCTCGTCGATCGCGGGATAGTCACTCATCAAGATCGCATTCTCGTTCATATTCTCGGTCTGCTTCTAGGTCTCCTTCACCTTTTCCTAAGAAGTAAGTCGAATACTTTATAATGCCTTTGCACACTAAGCTTTTCATCGCATACCCATTCACGATTTACGACCTTCTTATACCTTGGTGAACGGGTCCCTTCAGATGTCACCCTTCTCAAATCTAACCTGAATTCATTTGACTACATTGTCTAATAGAAATATATGTATTCATTGGTGAAATTCGGTATAAATTGAAAAGAATCCGGTAGCTCGGCTCTGTTTAAAGGAATTGGACTTTGCATTCCATCGTAGCAAATAAACCACGTTATTGATCTGGCCTGAGGGTACTTGAGTTTGTACGTGAAGGTAATATTCCCAATTTGTTGTCCGATATTTCAGACGTATTTCGCGGGCGCGTATAAAGACACCACCGCTTGCCCCGTTGACAAATCGACAGAGCGACTCGGAAGAGCAAATGGCAGATGTCGAGCAGTTTGTGGCTCAGCTCCAGGCGAAGCGTCAGCTGCAAGCAGAGCAGGCAGCCGCTGCCACGCAACCCCTCATCGGACCCCAGATGCCATCCGCCTCAACGGAGTAGCCTCATTTGGCACTCGTTTTACCGCGCTTTTTTCTCTGTATCGCGCTCATCCTCAATGTGTTTTAAGAGAAAGAATTTTAATCACGAATATTTACGTGTTAAAATGTCTGATGCACTTTCAACTTGGTCAGTTATAATCCAAAGATTGAGTCCAAACGTTGTTTGGATTCTGAACATCCAGCGATTCACGACGTATGCGGTCGCTCACACCAAAACCGAGGAATCATAACCGTGTCGCATCAACTTAACGCCCGCATTTTCATAGCTGGATATGCACATCGTGAAAGTGCCATCATTGGGTTGTTGTTACGTTTGCCCGTAACAAAAGAGAAAATCACCCAACGGTACTTGATCCCTTGTTGACGCTAGAACCAACCTTCTCACGCTAATGCAATAACAAGACCAGAGCTCTTGTAGGAAGCTTTATTCACATCAGCCACGTCCGGAGTCCGATTGTCGGAAGGGAAACTAATTCAAGTCAGGGTTGACCTTGACTTGATAAAAAGCGTAATAAAACATGCTAGTGAATTAGTGTAAATTGTGCCAGAAACCAATGACGAGCAATCTTGGGGAATGGTGGATCCCCAACACCTCTCCTCCTTGAAAAGATAGTAACGTTTCTTCTTTAGATCGACTTGGAGTAGTGTTGGTTTCCGTCGTTTTCGACTACTACCTTGGGGGTACAGACCTGTCTGTTGCTAGTTGATCTCTTCAGTTTCACTAGAGTTGCTATCGATGGCGGCAGATGGAAAGTATCGATAAGCACATCCTGTGGCATGCTGGTCTGGCGAATTGGTGTCGCAGATTCTTTTCTCAATCGAAGTTGGTTGCGATGCCTTGACCACGTGTCGTGACCCGCCGTCACGTCGAACATGACCTTGCCGTGTCGGCGTGCAATCGTCCCTTCGACCCATGGGTCGTTCCTTGGTCGTTAGTCTCGAACGTACACGGCTGTTCCGATTTCAAATGGTGTGGTACATTTCGTACTCGGAGGCTGCAGGCGGTTGTCTTGTACTGGAATCATTGCGGAATTTGTCCGCAATTTGCGACCCATGAGTGCCTCAGATGGCGTCTGTCGATTTGGTAGAGCCTCGTGTGGTGTACGATACACCAGCAGAAAATTCTATAGACTCTCGACGGATGTCCTTCCTTCCCCGCGGGATTTTAGCAGGGTTCGCTTCAGTATGTCGGCGAACCTTCCCGCCTGTCCGTTCGACTCTGGGTGGTAGGGGGCGGAATGCATGTGCGTAGTAGCATGCTGTCTACAGAACTCCTTGAATTGTTGAGAGGTGAACTGTGATCCGTTGTCTGAGATTATGGTTCCCGGAATCCCATGGCGGCTGAAAATCGGGAACAGAGCCTGTAATGTCCTCGTTGTTGCGGGGGAATTCATTGGGACGATTTCCGGCCATTTTGAGTAGGCGTCCACCAGCAAAAAGTACGACACTCCGTTGATTGGTCCTGCAAAGTCGATATGGATCCGTAACCAGGCTTTTTGTGGTTGTGGCCAAGGGACTGAAGGAACCTTGGGAGGGTTCTTGGCGGTCTGCTGGCATTGGCGGCAAATCTTGGCTAGGTCTGCTATTTACTGATCCATATTTGGCCAGTGAGCGTAGTTGTGGGCGATAGACTTCATGCGACCTATGCCGGGATGACCAGTGTGAAATTGATGAAGAGCCCGCAAGCGCAGTGATTTGTGCGCCACAACACGTTTTCCGAACATCAAGCAGCCGTCTATAACGCAGAGGGAATCGCGTCGCTGGAACAATTGCTGAAGATCTCTGTTGGGGGAGCGCTTTGGCCATTTGCCTTGGAGGTAACGGATGGCCTGCCGTAGTGTGTTGTCCGAGGCCGTTTTCCGTTTGATGTCAAGAAGTGACACCGGTAGCGCACGAACTGTTTGAGATATCTGCTAAGTGATATCTTCGTCAACGTAGATAGCGGCGATGACAGCATCTTCCTTGGTAGCGGGCTGGTTACTAGTGAAAAAAGCGTAATAAAACACATGCTAGTGAATTAGTGTAAATTGTGCCAGAAAACAACGACGAGCAATCTAGGGGAATCTTGGATCTCCAACAATTGTGCGCATTGGAGAACATAGGGTAGGGTAAACAGGTAAAATAGGTCGTCCACAAAAAAAACAGTAAATAAGATTTCAAGGCGAATATTCCGCCTCAGAGTACGCGTGTTCAGGGTACGGAACTAGTTGGGGAATGGAACAGT